TCTTGTTATTACCCCAACCATCAATGTTCAACCTCCCCATGCAATAGAAAAATAAATAAGTTGATTGTCCTGTTAGTAAGACGATGTATCTCATTAAATGTCTTTTCCAACCATATAAGTTAATCCTATACTACTTGGGGTTCCACAGTACCATAAGACTTTAGAAGTTTCAACCTCAGATATATCTAAAGATGTTAATCATTATCATTATATCTAATAACATATATTTTATTCTAGGTCGTACCTGTCATATGTGCTATAAATCTAGCAAGAAATGGAATTAGAGCTAGTAGCTCGTACTGTACTTTGGAAAGTTTTGGCTCTTGGAGATTCATCATATATAAGCATAGAATGCACACAACTGAAAGATACTACTAAGAACTCTCCCCACTATCTATAGATAAGTCATATGGCTTTATTATAAACAGTTCCTCCAAACCATTGCTTTTATACAAAGATGATTATGTCATAATTTGACCCAATATAATCCATAGGTGGGATGGGTCATACCATGTTGGATGGTGGTAACATAGATATCCCAAGACATAATCAAAGAGAATTATCAAATTTTCATAATAATTTTCAAAACAATACATCTATAGAAATATCATCCTTTTTCTACTTAGCTTGCCCTTTTCCCTTATCCTAACCTAAAATATACAAAAAGCAAGCATGAGCTACCACAGCTTAGTAAGTCGCATTCAATCTACCCAAGTCTTCAATAATAAAAATTAATATTATGAAACAAAAAATGGTAAAGTAAATTCATCAATACAGAAGTCCACTAAATCATTTAGAATAAATAAATATCAACATAACAGTTACTCTATCATATTAGTCATAAGTAGCATAATAATAAAGTAATAAAATAGTTGACACATCGCACCCATTCTTAAAGAAGAATATTTCTCTTAAGCTCTTGTATCTCCCAACATATATTAAAATTCAAAGTTCGAGCCCTTATAGCTCTATTTAGTATATTAGATAACAAACGGTTAGAATTCCCAATGCACAACACCACTAACATTTAATGATTCTAGGATCTTACAACTCTCATGAGATAGTGCATCAGAATCTACACCAATAATTAGAACTTCTCTATATTCTAACATTTCAATTATGCAAGTATAGAAATAAATGCATTTTAAAATATGGCACATAATACCATAATTATCACAGTTTCATAGAGCGCCTTAGTAGTAGCAAAATAGATAAACATTTAGGAGAAAACTATGTACAAGATTTTATATTTTGCCAAATTAACCAAGTTATAACACATTGTTGATAGCTATATTTAGAAGATTTTATTATAATGCAACACTATTTATAGGTGTTAGAATATTTTATATTTTCAAATTACCTAATAAATTTATAAAAAATGTCAAAATGTGCGTAAAAAAAACTAAAACATATTAAAAATTATGCAATGAAAATTTATTGAGTGATCATATATAGACATTTTCGTCAAAATTTCAATTAATTTTTTTTAAAATTAAATTATTAAAAATTAAGATATGCATAATATAAGCTACCTCGATCTAGATAATTTTCTATCTATTCTGATGAACTAAAATGACTTGAAGTAGCGTAAAATAAACTTTCTCTCTCCAACTTATTGCCTCAAGGGAAAATAGATTATAATAAAATAAGTTTATTTTTATGTTTATTTAAATATTTAACTCAATGTCATTGCACTCAGAGACCTAATGTCGTTGCACTCTCCTTAAAAATTCAACTAAACAAAGAGAACGACACCCAGCGCCCAACACCTAGACCTAGCATTACCATAGCCTAGACTAGAACTAGCGCTACAATATTGCACCACCCAATGTTGCAGTGTCCAACTTAAGCCGTAACGTGCGACGGAAATGGTTCAGGCTTCCCTATACCGTCGGCTTTTTTGGCGGAATCGGCGTCGGTGAATTTACGGCGTATATTGCGCCGAAAACTTTGACGCAAACTTTACGTCGAGCAAATCCGCCGGTAACTGCGCCGTTTATATCCGTCCAAAATTTTCCGCCGGAAAATCCGACGGTATTCGCGTGTTTTCCTGTAGTGAACTTAAATACCAAAAAAATAGAGAGTTTAGCATCACCCTCAATGTTATGTCACTCCCAATGAAAATGTCTAAAATTCTTATTTATTCACACATGCCCTTGGGCATGCTCCATAAAATAATTTGTATATTCACATGCATTAAGAAACATTCACAAACATATGCAAAACTAAATTGCAGAAATTTTACAGCACGCATGACTTAACAAATCAGGTTTGGACCAATTCAGATCACTGCAACATTAGGTATTACTTATAGTTGGGTGACATTAATCTAGGCACTATAGTCAGCGGATGATGGAGGTTGAAAGGACCATAGTCAGTGGATGATTGAGGTCGAAAGGACCATAGTTAGGCTATAGTGGTCCAAGAACTTTAGTCAACAGGCAACATAGATCGACAGTAGTCGCAAAGTGATGGAGGTTAAGAGGACTACAGATTATCGATAGTTGTTAAACGAAGAAGGCTAATTGGCAAATGATCTGACATGGTGGTCATCCAGTATAGGTCCTATGTCAAAAATCAATCGTTTGAGGTTTGGCAACTATGGTTAATGTAGAAAATCCCGTGATGCTGGTCAAACGATGAAAGTATGATGATAGTGGTCAAGCAAGGGTCTGTCATTGGCAATTAGGTGAAATTCCAATGATGATGGTCGGTTATAAAAGGTCAAATGGTGGTAGCTGAGAAGAGGTTTGATGATGACAGATGGTGTTGGCCAGGAAGGGTTTTGCTATAAGTTATACTCTAGTGGAGCTTTGGGATTCTTCAAGCCTCGATATTCTCTTGAATCACTAGCCCATGCTCCCCCTCATGTAGGGAGTAGGGATCTATTTTTGATATTTTTGGGAGTGACATGTACTGCAAATATGGAGAAAATTATGAGCAACTTCAGAGCACTCCATCTGCGAGCCTATAATGATTTCCTCATTCATAGATTGTTTCTTCGCATTTAGATACATAAATCAAATTGGAATTGAGCGATCTTGGGCTAGTTAGATTTGTCTCGTTAAGCCACTCAATTCGACTATACAAAAACAACATCAAGCCTTTGTCCCACTACGTGGGGTTGGATACATGAATCCTTTTTCTCCATTGTGTCCTGTTAAAAGTCAAATTCTCATTTAAATCTAAGAAAGAAAGATCATTTATAATATTTTCTAACCAAGTCTTTTTAGGTCTACCTCTACCTTTCTTAACATAAGTCAAATCTAATACCTCAACTTTTCTAACCAGGTCATCAGAAGGCCTTCGTTTTATGTGACCAAATGATCTAAGGTCACTCTCTCTAATCTTATCTTTCACTCGAGCTACTCCAACATTTTCACGTATATGCTCATTTCATATTCTATCGCTAAGGGTAAAGCCACTCATCCACCTGAGCATCCCCATCTCTGCAACACTTAACTTAGTATTATGGTTCTCTTTTAATAGCCAACATTCAGCACCATAAAGCATTGCAGGTCTCACCACCATCTAATAGAAATTTCCCTTAAGTCTGAAGGGGACTTTTATATCACACAACATGCCGATGCATTTCTCCACTTCAACCATCCAACTTGAATTTTATTGATAATATCCCCTACTACTTCACCATCACTCTGAGCATTAGATCCAAGATATCTAAAACGTGTATACTTATTAATGACTTGATCGCCCAAAATCACAATCCTCTCATTATGTCTATTACTACTAAAATTATACTCTATATATTCAATTTTAGATCTACTCAAGTAAAAACCTTTAAACTCTAAGGTTCAGCTCCATAATTCATGTTTACCTTCAACTCCCTCTCTAGTCTTATCAACAAGAAGAATATCATCAGTAAAAAGCATACACCAAGGTACATCCTCTTGCAAATATCTAGTGAGAACATTCATAACTAAAGAAAAAAGATATGGGCTTAAGGCGGATCGTTAATGTAATCCAACCAAAATAGGAATAATACTTGGTCAAATCACCTTGTGTTTAAACAAATGTAATAGCTCATGCATACATATCTTTAATGATTTGAATATAAGCATTATTAATTCCTTCCTTTTCAAGAATTCTCCATAGCACTTCTCTTGGATTTTTATCATATGTTTTCTCTAAATCAATAAATAACATATGCAGATTCTCCTTATTCTCTTTATTTCTCCATCAAACATCTCAATAAATGTATGTCTTCCATAGTTGACCTTCCTGGCATAAATCCAAATTGATTTTGAGAAACATTAGTATCACGCCTCAACCTACGCTCCATAACTCGCTCTCATAGTTTTAAAGCATGACACATTAACTTAATTCATCTATAATTGGTACAATCCTGTGCATCACCTTTATTCTTAAAAATAGAATTAACACACTCATTCTCTACTCAATTCGACTATAAAAATTCCAAATTAGGAGATCATTTGATCATCCAATTTTGCTTAGAACCCTTAATTTTAGCTCATTCGGGCTCGAATTGTACCATTTTTTGCATATTTGTGTCGTCTAGTCGGGCTATTCAATTTGACTATAAATTTGTTGAAATCAAAATTAAGATGATTCTAAATTTAAATTTAAGAATTTCCAATTTAAACATGGCCCGTGAAAAATTTTTATGACATGTCTAACCTAAAAAATATTCACCATTAGTTTTGTTATTCCCTTGTTTGACAAAGCGAGAGAGCAAGATAGTACAATATAAAACGTAAGGAAGAATTATTAAAACAATTCAAATTTTATAAATAAACTTCCAACTTTATTCAACCGAAACATTGCAAGTAGCTACCACAACTCTATTTAAAATAACAACAACATGATGAAAAAAACATAGTTCCAACGTAAGACTAGAAGGACACATTGAGCCAACTATAGACAGAAACAGTAGGAACCACCATCTAAAATTAACATAAGGCGGTCTTATTCGCATTCAACGTTTAACACTCAATTATGATAACGGCAGGCTCGCTGAGAGCCTAGCTGGTGGACGCCATGGCAGCTAAGACCTTCTTGCTACCTTGGCGGGATGTTATGGCATCCCACCAGGCCTTCACATGAGGACGAGAGTTAATGAGGGAGCCATGCGGCGTGTTGTTGATGAGGTGGTAGCCATAGGGGAGATGATGGAGGTCAGCGAGGCTGTAAAAATCACCTGCAAGAAACTTTGTCTTTGAAAGCCTGGCCTCATAAACATCAAGTACCTTACCCAGCTTATCCAGATCTAGTAACACCACGTTCTGGTCAGTGTGTCCTCCAAATAAGAGTGGAAGGAAGACATGTTGGAAAACAATGGCGGAAATGGGCCCATTGAAGTGTTGTGTTTCCACCTCCATCCACTGATCCACTGCAACTGTGTCAACGAAGCTCTTCTGTTTCAGGAGATAAGTCCCCTTGCCATATTTTTGCACCAAGTAGCGAGTAATAACCCGAGATTCTGCAATCACAAAAGGAAGAAACATACATAATCTAGTATATGGAGTATATAGAAAAATCTCTTATTGTAACCACACATAAAAATTGCTTTGGTGACTGGCATGTTCTTGACAAATTTGATCTTTGTCTATAGAAGTCTCCACCATTCAGCAAATCAAAGTATTTATTACAGTTTATAGACAATAGAGCAATGCCACCGTTTTCAAACTAGTCTATACATAGCTACCTGATTAAACTATGTGCATAAAAAAACAGACTAAAAAATTAAACTTGTTAATGTTTTAGAACAAAATCGAACAAAGCACATAATCCTATATTAAATTGTCATAGCGATAAGCTTCTTTACATTCATTTGGCTTTCAGAATTTCACAATATCAATGAAGAATGCGTATAAATTTGGCGTCAATTTGGACAAGTTACTCATACAGTATGGGATGGCAACAGCTTTTTATAAAGATTGTTATAAAGCTGATGTTGGGACAATAACTTTTTTTTTAAGTTTTTGTTAAAAGTAGCTTCCTAGTAAATAATTTTTTAAAAAAAATAATAAAAAAACAGCAACTAAATAGATAATATGATTACGATATAAAAAGTGAAGCAATAAGAAAACAATCACAAATATAACCTTAGACGAGCACACATAATTTATCAAACGTAGTGTGGCAAACTTAAATTTAGGCGAACAGAGAAATCCCTCACCAAATAGAACCAGGCCGCCATCCTGGAGGGCAGGGATTTGACAGAAGGGCTGCACGCATAACATAAATAAAATAAATACAGTCGCAAGAGAAGGAAATCACAATCACCCCTAAGGGGCAAATTATTTTGTGTGCAAGATTGCTTCCGGATTGTTGCGTGTTTATTGTGTTTTTGATGTATTTTTACAAAATGACAGCTAATATACAATTTTAATTGAATATTAGCTGTCATTTTGCTACTCTTTTACTGAGTATTTGAAAAGCACAGCAAAAGCACATATTAGCTGCTCTTTTTTGCAAAAATACATCAAAAGCATAATAAAAACACAGTAAAAACGCAACAATCAAAAGTAGCTTCCTAGTATATAACTTTTTTAAAAAATTAATAAAAAACAGCAACTAAATAGATAATATGATTACGATATAAAAAGTGAAGCAATAAGAAAACAATCACAAATAAAACCTTAGGCTTGCGAATCAAACGTAGTGTGGCAAACTTAAATTTAGGCGAACAGAGAAATCCCTCACCAAATAGAACCAGGCCGCCATCCTGGAGGGCAGGGATTTGACAAAAGGGCTGCACGCATAACATAAATAAAATAAATACAGTCGCAAGAGAAGGAAATCACAATCACCCCTACGGGGCAAATTATTTTGTGTGCAAGCTTGTTCCGAATTGCTGTGCGTTTACTGTGCTTTTACTATGCTTTTGATGTATTTTTACAAAATGACAGCTAATATACAATTTTAATTGAATATTAGCTGTCCTTTCGCTGTCATTTTACTGAGTATTTGAAAAGCACAGCAAAAGCACATATTAGCTGCTCTTTTTTGCAAAAATACATCAAAAGCATAATAAAAACACAGTAAAAACGCAACAATCTTTTATCAGATGCGTACATTTCTGTCAGAATGAGGTGGTCTTTGGTGCTCGCCGGCTTTCAAGTCGACGGGGACAAGCTCGTATTGCAAGCCGATCTCTTCCATGCAAAGCATCACTCGAGCTGTGCAGGTCGAAACAGGGGAGCCGAACAGCTTAACAACCATCTTTCCTATTGCTATTTTTCTCTAAATCTCTTCCTTTACTCTGTGCTGATCACTGTTTGCGATTTGATGAAGGCCTCAGCTATCCATATACTTATATTAAGCGCCACCTCTTTCATCCATCAAAAAAGGCGGGCCAAGTTGAAAAAGTAAATTCCCCCAAAAAAAAAAAAAAAAAAAAGTTGAAAAAGTACTGCTGAAAAAAACAAATTTTTCCGTTAGATAACAAACTTTTTATTTTTTTTATTTGAACAACTCTAAATTCTAGAAGATTTTAGTTGGGACCTGAGAAAAATTTTTAGTCATAATATAATTGCGATTTGTTCGGGAAATTTATAGCGATTTTGTAAAGACGATAATAAAATTATTGTGAAAACAAAAATAGTTTTTTTAAAAGTTATTGTAGGTAATAATTTTCTAGTATAATTTTTTTTGTAAGTAATAATTAAAAAGAAGTAGTTAATTAGAAAATATGATTACAATTTTAAAGCAAAGATGTAAAAAAGATGCTCAAATGAAGCCTCAAAATTTCTTACTATTTTTTAATGAAGCTTTTTAGTAAAATTTTGATTTTTCAAAACATTTTTGAATTAAAAATATGTCTTCTAAAACAGTATGAAAGCTATCTCAAATGAAATCTACATGTATAACTTTATATTCAATTAGGATGCAAAGATTTAAAATTTGTTTGGAATAGCTTTCTTACTGCTTTGTAAAGTGGTTGTAAAGAAAATAATCTTTTAAAATATTGTAGAAAATAGTTTTCTAGTACTAAATATTTTAAAAGTAATAAAAAATAATGATCAAATAGTAATTATAATTATAGCCGATAAATCAAAACAGTAAGAAAACTCTATCAAATGAAGCCTAAAAACTAATTTAGCTGCCCATTTATCTCCATGACCAATGACATTAGCTATAATTTGAGATTTAAGTAAAAAAAAAAAAAAGAAGAATGATGAACGTGTTATCCATAAAGATTCATAGTTGGCCAAGATTTGCCTTATTAATAAAAAAAACTTCGAAATAATATATTATAATAAATATGTAATTTACTTTGCGCAAATTAATAAGATAAATGATATAAAAGGTGCTACGTAAATTTTGATCATAATATATTACAACTATAGAAGTTAATAAGATATCTTATGCAGCAGAAATCTGAGCATATTTTTTACATCTAATTTAGATTAAAAATATTATATTTGTATTTAAATGATAATTCTTCATGCATAATAAGTAAATGAATTTATATAAGTTTGAATATACAACAAAAAAATCTAGAGAGAACGGAGAATACAGATCCATGAAGAGGATAATTAGAAAGCCCCAAGGATGAAGGCTTCGATTGGGGTGGCTTTCTTGATGCTTCTTAAAACAAATTTTTATACGTAAAAAGTTGTTTTAAGAAGCAATAAGGAAGATGTCCCAAACGAGATTGAAAAGGGAAGACAAAAAGCATGTGACTGATGGCAAGGGTCTATTGGAGCAACTTTTTGGCTGCTTTGTTTTTTTCAGACAATAATCATAATTTTGTTTGGTTACTAATAACTATTTTTTTAAAATTCCTATGGTGGAAAGCTACTTTCTGTAACAACAATAACGAAATTATTTTCTCCACAACAACTTTATTAAATATTATAACCATCACAAACAAATCTTAAATCAAGCTCTCATGTAAGTGTAAAAATATTTATCTAGCTTCACAATACCCCTAGAATTTATTGTTAGGGATGGCCACTAATAATCTGATGATTAACATTTAAGGCTTTGTTTAGGACGGCTTTCTTGCTGCTTCTTAAAGCAACTTTCTAGTATAAAAATTTTAATTTTTAAACTAGAAAGATGTTTTAAGAAGCAATAAAAAAGCCATCCCAAACGAAGCCTATGTCTTGAGTTTGAGTTAGGTAAGACATAAAAGAATGCTAAAAATATGGCCTTTGTGTAGTTATGATATTTACACATTTATACTTGTTAAAGAACTAATAGGTAAGACATAAAAGAATGCTACAAATATGGCCTTTTGAGGCTTTGTGAAAATGTTAACCCACTTAATGCACCACAAATGAATATCATCATAGTTATTCAGATTAAGAATAAAGAAGAGAAATGACAGCATGTTCTTCTTGCAAAATTATTGATAAGAAAAGAATTGTATAGTCCAAATTATTTCTATTGTTATAAAAATACTCTTTAATCTTATCTTTTTGTGTATAAAATAAGCTAAAATGCTAAAATTTAAATGTGTGCCACAATGCCACAAATAAAGTGCCACTGCGCTACATATCCCGAAGCGGCGAGCACTGTCTGATCGGTGTTGCAGTGATAGAAGTCCTGAAGATTATTGGAGAACTTAGCACCGAGGTGCTACTTATGGAGAAGTGCAGCACCATATCAAGTGATGTTGTACTGAAATCTCCACAAACCCACTCTGGAAGATAGTTAGGAATCCTTGAAATAGTGAACTGATGCAACCAATAGTGAACCGACATGTTGATTCAGCACCGTTGTAGCGCCACAATGCTAGTTTAGTTATTTGAAAAATCTATAAAAAGGGAGTCTATTTCTCATGTAAGGGGGTTGGCTAGATGGAGAGACGTCAGGGAGTGTGTGTGTGTGGGCAAGCGAGTGCGCCTGTGCGCGTGAGTGAGCGTGCGTGCGCACAAAGTTATATGATCTTAAGAAGATAATAAAATTGTAATTAAGAGAAACTATAACTAATACTCTGAACTCGATAGAGATGATGAGTAATTATGCTCTGATTCACAACAACATTAAGATAATTCTATCTATTAAAAATATGTGTTTTTAATTATCATAGGTTCAAAGTATTTTGAATGTAGAATTTGCCCTTGAATATGTACGTAGTTTTTAAGTTTCAATTGTATACCCTTTTTATTCAATTGATAAGATAAATTAAGTAGTTCTTATAAGTAGTATTAGAGTTATTTTAGGATAATTTTAATTCTCATGAAGAAAATTATTTTTTTGTCACTTTATTACTTGATATGAAATGTATACTTTCATAAGAACAGGATTTACACCATATCGTAGTAAACCACAGTTAGAAGAATAATAGTGTACCTTGTGTCAAAGTTCTTGGCGTTATTGCCATGGATTGTTAATTTAGTTTTATCCTTATTTCTATTTTACTTGTCTTGTGTTGACACTATTATCTTATTATGCTAAAAGTTAGTATAATCACTTTATTAATTGTTCATTCGTGATTTGTTTAACATTTTTATATTGTGAGTGTTACTATTGCATATATGATAGAAACCAACTACGAGAAACTTGGTTTAATTCTAAAATTGAAAGAACTCTTAAAAAAATAGAAAATCTCATAAATTACAAACAAAAATTTATGAAAATAATCAACGTAGATCACTTAGAGAATATTCTAATCCTTTGGTTGAGAGTATTCACGAAAGTATCAACATATCAAATTTTCAGGCTAACCATTTTGAGTTAAAATCAACTACAATCCAAATGGTATAAGTTTGTCAGCTCGGGGGAACCCCTATAGAAGATCACAACCTACAAATAGCTAGTTTGTTGGAGATATGTGATATATTTAACTATAATGGAGTCTCTAATGATATCTTTAGACTTAGGTTATCTCATTTATATTAAGAGACAAATCTAAGATGTAGTTGAACTCTTTGCTCCTAGGCTCAATAACCACCTCGAATGACTTAGCCCACTAATTTCCTAACAAGTATTTTTGTTCATCTAAAATAGAAAATCTTAGATGTGATATTACCTTGTTCACTCAAATAGATGAATAATCAATTTATGAAGCTAGGGGGTGATTCAATAAATTATTTAGAAAGTGACTCCACTATGTATTATGTGATTGGCTAATTATTTAGGCGTTATATAATGGTCTGGTAGGTTCTTTTAGATCCATTATAGACACGGCTATTGGAGTTTCTTTGTTGTCAAAACCTTCGATGAAGCATATGCTTATATTGAAGAGAAGGCACCAATAATTTTCAATTGTCATTTAACAGAGTAAATCCTAAGAATGTAGCTATTTTATAAGATAAAAAATTGTTATGAAATTTTCTTATGATTATGTTATTATGTGCTTGTAAACCTTATATATATATATTTAGAAAATTATAAGAAAAATATAAAATTAAATTAGTGATGCAGCCCCCAAAGCTCATCTCTGTAGTGCCAAAACTAAATTCAGCGCCGCAGTGCCACACCTTCAGCAGCATCACAATGGAAAGCTTACCAAAAATTGGTTAGAGGGTTAGCACCTAAGCACTACCTAGTTAGCACCACAACGCCAAATCGTTAAGCGACATTGCGGGAATCAGTTGGACCGACAAAAGAAAGCAACTATTGGTGAACCGATGCGTATGTTTAGTAGTACCACCAAGCTAACGTTGTAGTGCTAGTTCAGTTAAATTTGAAAACTATAAATAGTCACCTTATTTCTTGAGGCAGGAGGTAGTTGGCCAGTTGGAGAAGTCTTTTTTAGTGTCATTTGATGAGATTGTGTGAGTGTATAAGAGTGTTATAGTGGAGTGTGTAGCTCGTGTTTATTATACATGAGCCCTGTATTGGAGTGGAGTAAAACAAAGGATTTTAGCATTACTTCCGGGTCATTTCTAAACATTGGATATGTTTTTTTTTTTTTTTGTATCTTTAATTAATACTCATGAACAAGTTAATATGATAAAATGTTCATGATGTTTATTGTGTTTATTATGAGTTTTAATGGCTCCATTTATAGCTAATCAACTTTTCTAAATCTATGATGAATTAAAAATATGTATTGGTTAGAGTAGGGTTTAATATTTATTATATATACGCTATTTTTATTTTCTCCAAACTTAAGTTGATTTATGCTCATGCATTGCATAAATTTAAACAGGGCTGTCAACATTTGACACGACCCGAAAACGCGACCCGAATCCGACCTGGAAATTTCGGGTTCGGGTCAACCCGAACCCGAACCGGGTCGGGTTCGGGTTAGAGTTTTCGACCCG